GGCGTCGAAATTTGACAGCGCCGATTGTTTGAGTGCCTGTTTATTCAGAATCGAGAAACGTCTGTGAATGTACAGGGGTGGCTAGATTTCTTCAGAACGTATTGTGTTCTCCATACTTTTTTCTAAGGATAAACCTCTGTGTTTGCTTACCGAAATTTAACCATACATTTTGACGAACTTTCTGACATTTCGTCTCAGTGCTTAAGTATTCCCTGTTCTCTCAATGTTATCACTACTCCCTTGAATGGGTGGTGCTCTTTGGTTGTCTCCTTATGATGCGCATGCATGAAATGCACTGGAACTAATTAATACTAGAGTCATTCATCTCGTCGATAAAAGACGACTCTTTGAGGATGTCAGTTGCGGCACTGAAACCAGATCCTAGATAGGTTCTTAGCGGGTCAAAGTCTGCAAGTCACATGCTTATCTTCGACGAAGTTTTCTGTCGTGAGCGTCAGGTGATATGACACGACGACTGCACGTCCGCACTCATGAAACACAATTTTCAGTCTCTTCTGTGGTTGTGGTCCAGACCGATGAGCAGCTCCTGTGGCAGAGAACGCGGATATTCATAGTTCTGTTGGAAGTCATTGAGGTGTGAATTCGTTTTTATGACTTTCAAATGACAGCCGTGCACATAATTCAGTGACATCAGTTGTTATTTATGGTCATTTACCGTGTCGCACTTATCGCTGAAAAGCTAAATCGGAGAAGAATGCGGCGAAAAGAAAACTTTGCCGCTCGTATGATTCCAATTAGATTACATTTTAGTCGGAAATTTATTTGTACTGCACTGGTTTTTCATTTGGTAAGCAGAGAAAGAACATCTGCAGAACCTCTGAAGGAGCAGGTGTTGTTACTTTCCGTGATGGCGCTGTAAAGAAGTTGCTAAATTAAAATTGATGACCTTTATTTATTTACTGCTATAGGGATTGGCTACCGTATGAGGATTAAAGCACTGAATAAAAGGAACATAAAATTTGTACCTCATTATTCAAGTCTTCAAGCCTATGTAATCATTAAGGTATCTATTAATAAATGGTCGTTTACTAGAAGCAATAATCGACCACAACACCGTTATCATTGACTGAACCCTTGATCCAGATTTTACTGTAGCTTTTTATCTAGTAGCTCTTGATGTTGTTGATGTGTGCTTTAAGCTTTTTCTCTATCAGTAGAAGCACATGCATTGCATGAGAGCGTCAGAAGCGCTTATCAGAGAAGTGCAGTTCATCTCATAATAGGCCCTGACAACGTGATAAGTTGACAATCTTCTGTGGGGAGTGCAGAAATCAGCTGCTTCGTTCGCAACGCCCTTCTGAGAGTGATTTCACACAGAATTCGAAGTGAGTGAATGCAAGGATGTTCAGCGTATTTCATCCTCTTTTCCGGTTTCAGTGCTACTAGAATTAGAAATATAGTGCCAGAGCACACCGTAGAATACCGCTCTGCCACCTTTTCCATCGGCAGTTTCCCTACTGAGCACCTTGTTTCGTGTTGAGCTCTGTTTGAATGTACTTATGGTTTCATAGGGATAAAACCTCCCGAATATCGCACTCTTTGACCTTCAGCAGAATATCTAAAGGCTTAGAAGGAACTACGAACGCACTTCTTCCATTCGCATGGAGAATAAACCTCTTCGAATGGTTAAAAATATTAACATAAATACATTTGTGACGACTTCATTTCAGTCTCCTATTGTTTTCCTCGTGCAGTTCCAGATTTCCATTCTTTTATTAGTTCTCTACTGCTGCGCTTCCGACTCCGACCAGCGGAAGAAAACCATGGGGAGAAATAATTCGTGTTCTATGCTTTGCTTACTTCTTAGTGTGACGATTGTTACTTGTTCTCTCACAAATTCACAAGTATAGCTTTCTTCTCGAATACTTAAATGGTCTGTTTTCACAAGAATCACATTCGCTTCTGTATGACTCTTCGATGTTTTGCTTATCGTGTATGCTTTCTTCCTTAGCATCACGTTGTAGTCGTTCTAGGGCTTCCGTGTTTCGTCACTACAAACGAGCGCCGGTCATTAAAGAAAGATTTACTGGCCTACAGCCTTCCTCACTGGAATTCGCCTATTCCAACCTGGATTTGCTTTTTTATCTGCGCAGTTGAGCTCTTAGACAGAAATTATGAGCTAATTCTCAGTTCAGGTGTGACCTTGTCAGAGGGTAGAACCTTTATTGCACATCTCAATTTGACACTCGCGAAAGAAATCAACTACTGAGAAGAAAAAAAAGAACATTATAGCAATGGAATAATTCCAACAACCAGTGAAACGAGTTCTCCAACGGTTAGCAAAGATTCTCCATAATAGGAAACTTTATAACCATTGTGATTTTTGAATAACTCAGCACTAGTTTTCCAGCCGAAATGAGTCATCACTCAGTTAACAGTAGAAAACGAGCACGTGCTTTCTTGAGTGAACACTCTAAGTGAATTCTAGCCTTAGTCTCATCTAGGAGTGTCTGGCTGTCGAAGGTAACTCGTTCGATGAGTTTTGCAAAAGATTGCCTAATTGATTTCACTGCTCAGTGTCAACTTAACTGTTGTCATCATTTTCCCTTGGTTTTATCGTAAGTTTCTCAGAAACAGCTGAAGCGATTGTCTTTTCATGAATGTGCATAGTCATTTGATTCCATGTCTTCTGCGATTCCCACATAAACGCACCTGATTTCTGTTTATTAGTTCTCAAGAGTTCTGTCATTACGGGCTATGTGTGTATACCTTGGTGTTTAGTTTCACGTTAGGACTTCTGTACCAATCCAGATTCTCCGCACCATCAAACTGAATTCCTGGTTACTTTATGCTTCTTTTTGAACAGATTTCACGGAAGAATATCACGTGAGACACAAGGTGGATCTCTGTGCATAATCTCTATCCTCTTGTGATCAATGACTGCTGATTTTACGAGTTCATGTAAAACCACCTTTAGAAATCTAAAAAAAGCTTTCCGACGAAAATTCCAGCTTCTGTGAAATGCTCTTTGAAAAGTGCGAGCCACTCATAAATTATGCGTGCTTAGGCTCCATTATTTCCACTGCATACTCACCCGTATCAGTGAATTCATAGAGTACTATAGTATTTCACTGGTGTGCATCGAACGATTATAAAGATGTTTTAGAATGCGACAACTCGTCCGTGCACGCTGTCCATAAAATCTTCGGGTTTTTCAGGAAGACAGATGTGAATTCCGATTCTTCCTTAGACACTACATAAACGTTTCGTAGTACTTGTTACCGACCGATGTTTGGGGGGTTTTTGGGGATAAGAGAATTATTGAACGTCTCAACAAACTCCCATGTCATGCTGGTCAAGGGTGATAACTCGTCCACTTAGTCTGTGGCGTGAAGGGTTAGACGCTTCCTGGCCCTCGGAACAATTCACGGAGACTCTGCTGGCTGAAAGGCATTTTCCATGCTCGTCTCGGGGCTTGCGAGCGGCTCCGCAAACTCGTCGACCCCCGGGGCAGCCGGCTCAGGGACGACGAAGATCCGTGTTATCTCGGGCGCGCCCCAAATCTTTTGCAGACAGCCGGCGACGGCCGCGCGTTTTTCTGCAGCACGCGCATCCGGCGCCTCCACGCCCACCGCGCTGCCTCGGCACGCGGGCCACCCGCGCCCTCCGCGCCTCGCCGACGACGCGCTCACATGGTGTTGGCTGTCCGCCAAGCCCCGCCCCGCACATCCCTCCGCGCGGCCTCCGACTGGCCGTCTGTTACACGTCGTCGCGACTCGGTCGAAGCGTCTGCTGCCGGTCGGTCACCCTGCCAGCCTGTCCGTGCCCGGACTCGGTCCCCGGGCCAGTGCTCATTCCCTCCTCACGGTCGCCAGCCGTCCGTATTCGTCGACTGTCGGGCTCATTTCACGTTCTGTCCGTTCTTCCGTGCCCCCGTGCATTCGAGGGGCTGCTGGCTTTCAGGGTGTGGCGCGGGGCGGGGTTAGCGTGAATGACGTGTGGACTCCGCCCACCGCTGCATTCATTTCGCGATAAGTGCGCATCCCAGGACGAGCGGGCGGTGCTATTTCCTCGTGGTTAATGCATTTATTTTATGAGCTGATTGAGCTCAGTCCCACTGAATATGTAATTTGGATGAGTTTGCTGTTGCACATTTCTCAGTGTTTATGACGTCGTTCGTGAGATCGATCCATCTTTGGTGCGTGTCGTGATAACTCATTTTAACGGCTTCGATTTCTTTCTGTTCCAGATCGTATCACTCGTGTTACATCACCAGTATTCGTATTTGGTCCGGAAATCCGTAGCAAATCTGATCATTTCGCAGGAATTCTCTATGTTTATGAGCCGCCTTCGCAAGATGGCGATTGGCGGTCTAGTAGCGACAGACCGATCAGGTTCGTATAGGGTATAATACCGTTTAATTAAGGTTTTTTCATTATTTTCACAGATTTCGTTGCTGACTGTGATTGTGTGTGCCATTTAATCACTCGTGTTGTTGCCCTTCGCGCGGTTAATAGTGCTGTGAAATCTGTCCCGTTATATGCTCCTGACGTGCTCAATTCGTCATTTACGATAATTTATATTTACGAAGTGTTCTATATGGTTACGGCTGCTGATCGTAATGTAAGAGGTGTTTTTCGTACGAGTTCCAGAGATCACATAACACTAGTCAAGCAACAGCATTCCCCACGGCCACGCACACCAGTGGCGCTTGGTTGCTTTGTAGCGGGGGAAAATGCCGCCATATTGAAACATTTTTTGTCTCGTCATGCGCTTCATTCGTCCTACCACTCCGAATGGTCTATCGTATAGAGTTTCTTTTTTACCTTATTTTTGTAAACGTTGTTGCGCGAAGATTGAATGAGTTATTGAAACCCATTACTCTTACAAAACCTTAAACCAAAAGGCATATCGAAAGTGTCACGTGCCTTGTTCTTACTTCTTCTGCTGGGCTATATGAAGTTAGAACCCAATGACTCTACTACAGGTCCGTACGCAACATCACTTAATATTTACAAGTTTTTGCAATATATCAGTATATGTCATTAGATATAGTGAAGCAGACTATGGATTACCATGTCAAGATTCGTCCCACTTCAGGTCATGATTACGCAAATTTCAAGCGTCAGTACAAACTTGGCGCTGAATTAGGTCGAGGTGGATTTGGTACAGTGTACTGTGGTTTTCGAATTGCGGACAATCTTACGGTTGCGTGCAAATACGTTACACGATCGAACGTAACAGAATGGGCCTGTGTAGGTTTTGTTTGTAATTTCTTTTTCTATTTTTCATGTTTGTTGCGATTGATAACGCGTGAGTCGCGCCCTTGCGTTGGTATGTATGTAATAGCGCTCGAGCAGCATTTTCACAATGCTTCTAATCAGTTAATTGCTGCTGTTTGACTAGAAGCGTTTTCCTTTACTTGTAATACGTCGATCAATCCTCTTTCCCCCTCATCAGTCTTGTTTCAGTTGGACGGTCGAATGGTTCCGTTGGAGATTGTACTACTGATGCGATGTCGAGGTATTCCTGGCGTCATACAGACGATTGATTGGTTTGAAAGACCCGATGGCTACATGATCGTAATGGAGCGTCCAAGCCCTTGTACAGACCTATTCGACTACATTTCGGAGAGAGGGGCTCTTACCGAAGATGTAGCTCGTGACTACTTTCGTCAGGTTTGTTCTGGATTACTCCCGCCGGTTGATATTGTTACTGTTTAGCACGATGACTATGCAATTTTCAAGGTCGTCGACACGGTGCTTGCTTGCTATCACGTCAGTGTAATTCATCGCGATATAAAAGACGAGAATCTGGTTGTGGACATGAAAAATGGCGTGATCAAGTTGATCGATTTTGGTTCGGGTGCTTTTCACAAGGATGGGCCATATACGGATTTTGAAGGTTTGTGCAATTATTTGCTTGCTCATTTGAGTTGTGAATAAGGTTTTTCACCAAACATACAGCAGCTACTTATCTACGCGTCCTCGTTTCTCTTCTTCGCCTTCTTCGAGTTTTGTCCATGTCTGCGGCGGTTTGTCTCTGCTCGATGTTATTGCAGCTAGCTTATTGTAAGTTGTCATTTCTGCTCTATCACTTGATCAGAATTGCATTCACGAGGAATGGGAAATGACGTCGTCCTTTTCGAGTATGAGAGATCATGCGGAATGTATACTGCCGTTTGGGAATAATCAATTCAGCGATCGCATCTTCTTGACTGGCACCAAGGTCTTCGCAGCGGCGACGATCTCGTTCTTTACTCGTGCGGTGGTCGTTCGTTTTGACTGGCACGACACCAGTGACGACGACCTGTGCACATAAATCGGTCACTGGTCGTGTTGCCTCGCATTCCTTTGCAGTTGCGCGCAATTGTTTGGTGTTGGCGATGCGCCAGCAAGCAAACATTGGCTCGTATCCAAGTCGTGGCCACTTTCCCGCGCATTGACCTCGTCGGCGCAAGACGAGGAGGCACGTGACGACCGTTTCTGACCAGCCGGACAAGACTGGCCGCCATCGCCCTGGGTTCAACCAAACTGCATTTGTCCTACTATTTTTGCTCGACATCAGTTCGATTGCGAAGGAATAGTGCTGGGAAATTGGCAAGTCGCCATGTAAAGGTGTTTTCATGGAGAGAGCGCTAATTGGACTGGTGATGAGTGTTCGCTCCATGCCAAGTTAGCAGATGTGCCCCGTTTAGCAAAACTGCGTGCATGTTATGGTCTAATTGGTAGTTGCTTACATTATGCGTTGACTTACTGCGTATACCTTTACAATGTGGTAAGCCGAGTGCTCAACATATTGGCCACAGCAGTCAAGACATACACTGCCCGTTGACCTCAACCCAGTTGTTTACCGCTGGGACCAAAACTCACTGGGTTCAATACCAGTCGTAGAGCTAACGAAATCACGCGTCGCGTATGCTATTAATTGTTGGTTTTAAAATCTGCAGAATTTGTCGATATTTAGCGATTTGTGTTGTGTAACGGGTATATTATCGTTCCGCTATTCGTTCATTGGAAACGAATCACTGGAGCACTAGGAACAGCATTGTTGTGAATTAAATGAGCGTTTTGACGATTGCTTGTCTGCTTTTGTTCGATTTGGCTAACGTTATGCATAGCTGATACTAGCCTTACCATGTTGGGAAACCTTCGCCCACATGGACGTAGATGTTTAACTGTTTAGTGTGAACTTACGCAGATGTGGCAAGTTGCTCTGTTGAGCGTCTGTGGGTTGTGCTGAATAGTTTGGTAAGAAACTAGAAGTAGAATGAAATTTGAGAGTTGTTACGCACCAGAGTAATCTACTCTTTGGAGCAGTACGAGATGTCGAATTGCAGAGCGATGGCCTTCTTGGTACTCACTGAATTTCCCGTTATATTGAGCTTGATGAGAGGTTTTGGGGCGAGTAGTGAAGGCAGTTGTGTGATGGTATGATGTTTGGCGAGAGTAGATGTTTAAGTAGAAAGTGACAGGGGAAATAATTGTATTCGTTTTCTTCAACGTAGTCGCCCTAACGAGAATGTCAGAGATATGGAAAATCGGTTAATAATAAAACACTGCTTCTTAGTCATGACTTCAAGTGATCAATGTGGAATTGCCCTAGACCCTTGTTCAATAAAGATGATAGAAGTGTAGAAAAAATCTGCAAAGGTGTTACGTGTGATGGCTAGATCATGAATGTGAAGAGCGATGATCGGCAGACGTTTCCCTGGCACTACCAGGAGCTCGGACCGGTTCTCGGTTATGTGATCGTCAGCGATCGTTCTTGCACCGTTGAAAATCTTCATGTTAATCGGCGCTTTAAAAAGTACAGGTGTACGTTCAATAAAAGAACTGTGTTATTCACAACTATCTTATACCTTTCACTCCTCGTGAAAATCAGCATCTTCATGTAGTGTGGAAATATACATTCCTTTCTGGTAGTTTATTTTTTCATAGCGCTGTAATATGGTCTGTGCAATTTTCCCACTTCAAGTAAGGTGATTCTCGAGATTTCTTTCCAGGAACTCGTGTCTACAGTCCGCCGGAGTGGATCGAAGAGTCATGTTACGATGGCCTTGAAGCTGCAGTGTGGTCTCTTGGTATACTTCTATTTGATATGGTTTGTGGAGATATTCCATTCCGTAAGGACTCAGAGATCTGCAATGGATATTTACAATGGCGCAATAATATTTCTCAAGGTTTGTGTTTGGTTTCACTCAGCTTTGTAATCGTGCTTGTGATGTAACCTTTTTAATGCTTTGATTACAGAGTGTAAGGATTTGATTCGACAGTGCTTGGCTCGTGATGGTTGCGACCGTCCATCGTTGGAGGAGATTCTCGAGCATCCTTGGATGCAAGTTCCTTCACCAACCTTTGAAGCAGCGAAAAATGAGTGGAACGCTGATCGTCACAAACTAGCAAGCGTGCCAGACCGTTTGGTCACTGAAGCCCAGTTACACTCACATCCTCGTGTACCTCTAACTACTACGCGATCAGATCAGTTTTTGTTAACTCCGTCGACTAGCAACAGCATGTCTACATCATGTTCAGCCGCCATTTTTGATGGTGCTGCTCTAGAGCGAGTACCGCACCCTGAGGTTCGTTGTCCTCTAGTAATGGTCAGTGTTGATTAAGCACCTCAATTCTGCTTTTTTACAGGTACAGCCGTTCGCTACAAACCCGCGACTTCTTACCGGTGCACCTATAGGGTCTTTGCGTCACCTTTTTCACCCTCGTCAGTCGGCCACCCTTCCTTCACTCGCATATCCGTCAACCCACTCATCAACACCTCCATTGTGTGATGTTGACAACGCATCACCGTTGATGTCATTATCCCGTGGTCAAGGATCACAGTACGATCGAAAGGACTCGTTAAATTCTGTGTGCACTGCGTCGACTCATTCTTCAGGATCGTCTGGTTACGGCACGACGACTCCGTCACCATCCACAACCGACGACTCTCTGCTTGCGACGTACTAGGTCAAATAGACGGTGGTTCATTTTGCTTCATTAATGAGCTTGCGCGCCATATGTTGCGCCTTTCCCGGTTCCCTATTGCCTTGCTCAGAATTTGCTGTAGCATCCGCGTTTGTTTCATAATTTCTGGAGTTTTACTGTCGATTCTTCTGCATTGTATATACTCGTTATGAACGCGAGCATGTACTTCCGCATATGTTCATCTCGCTCTTTAATATTAGCTTGTACATACACAACCCATGTATCTACGATCAACCCTTTCCCCAAAGAGATTGTTCCTATAATTATATAATGTAATTACGACTTAGTAATCCTAAATTTGCACTTAGTGTTGGTGAGAATGCACGTCGTCTGTTTATGGTGTGCTCTGTAGCCAGCACTGCAGTACTGGAACGGTTGCAAAGCACCACTACCCACAGTACAGCTGGTTTTCGCGCTGAATTTGCTTCTTTTTTCCCTCTATTTAACGTTTAAGTACCATTAATAATGAGAGTTAGTCGCACTCTTTTCTTCCATAACAGCTGGAATTTGCTCATTCTATCAGATGGTCTATATCATATTGTCTAATTAATTTATGATGAGGAAATAATTATTCTGGGTTGTTGCAAACACAGGTGCAGTGGTTTTGCACCTTTTGTACCCACAATGAGCTATGCCACGCGTAAGTGTTCGTGCGAGTTGCTGCTGTACCAATTTCTAATAAAAATAGATCACTATGGTTACGTTAATACAGAGATGTAAGATTTGCTTAAAAGCCTATGCAGTTGGACAATATGCGACGCAAAATGCTACACCGGGCTGAATAGAGCAAGTCAGGAGGAGGGGAGAATGACGTGTTTTAGATGGCAAGAGGCCAAGAAATGAGCTTCGGCGACACCTGCAGAATCGATCGCTGGGAGGGCTTGCCCTCCTCTGTCGGGTGTTGGGCTGGTCACTATGATGATGTTAAAAAAATGCAAGGTCGTTCCCACATCGGTGGCCTTTAACTAGGACGATTCGACCATAGTTCAGAACAACATACCTACACATATTCATGTTCGACATATGTTCAAAAGCCCAAGGTTTTGTTGATGAATTCTAGCTCAGACGTTGACATCTATGCTGTATCTCTGTTAAGTCGAAAATTTATCTGCAACACGCTCTCCACCTCGTTCAGTGAGCTAGAAACACCGTCAAAAATGGCGGAGGCTGCGTGAAATAACCGCAACAGAAGACTGCATCGACTTGAGTAGAAAGATCCCCTTTTCTGTAATATGGATTTCCCAATCACATTTGTTTGTGTGTACGTGGGTAGTTCTAGAGTGGAGGTCTGGTTGGTCCTATTTACACCTCAACGTTTCTGTTGTATAAGAGCCCAGAAAACAAGCTCAGAAACACCGCTGACAATAAACCCTCGTTCGTCCTTTACATATGCCTTATACAGTACACAATCTTGTTTATTACAACAAATTTTTTAACCCACGTAAATATTTTGGCCTAACTACTTAAACAACAAAAACGGCGCATATGAAAATGTCTAGTTTTTTCCGGAATCCTCTTTTAGAAGAACAGTGCGATTGAAGACAAGCTGAAAAGAACGTAATTATCAATATCTATGAAGTGGATTAGTTGAAGCTCAATTACTCTGGCAAACAGAAATGCTTTTGTAGAACCGACAACGGTAAACACAAACACATTTCACGACTCCGAACAGACAGCAGATCACTGAGTCACGATTAGCAGCAGATTCTTTGGAGGACACTAGAGGAGTAGATATTCAACTTAACTGGCGATTGCTGTGACAGCTACTCAACAAAGCACATTGACCGATGTCTAATAAATTGACTTGGAAAAATGCGCATTCAATTTTAGAGTGAAAAAAGCGTTCATGTGACAGTATTCTCGCTCTCAGATGGGTAATATGACCACGAAATTGTTGAGTCTGCCATCCCTCAGTTTGTTGCTGTTTCACTGTTCTCCATTTAAGCAACACGGTGGATGCAAGGAATGTATACGCTGAGTCACCGTAGAAACGGTTGAAAAACGAGAGGAATGCGGCCGACTAGAACCCCTTGCCCGTTTGACAGATGCCCGATTACGGACTGTTTGGCGTTCGTTTAACTAGCTGAATAGAGGTTTGTACATAAGATCGTCGTTCAAAGAATCGAAATATCGTATAAGGTTCCTGATTCATTGGGATGTTAACTCGTTCTTAGAAAATAAGAGTGGACGCTACGTCCACAACTGAATACGCAGCTCAGATATCAACGATTTATAATTCCACCCAACCATAATTATACCGAACTTGAACGCAATTTTGATGAGCATTACTAATCTCGGTACTATTGACGATCAGCGACAAATGAAGAGTGTAAATGAATGATGAAACTATGACGCGGTGGAATGTGACATATGAGTCAACAGATACAGTTTGCACACAAGAATTTTTGCAGTTTGATGCCGGGCCGGTCGGGTCGGTTCAGAACTGAGTCACACATGCGCTACAACTTTATACTCCTTAAAAACACTTATTACAAAACCTAGTAAGCAAAGGTTCTTTAAGTTTTGTCGCATTGAACCATTCCTATGCGAATTCTCCGAATTCCAATGTGTACGGATGACGCATTTTACCTACATCAAGTCTGTCATAGTTCGATAACGACAATCGTATGGAAAAATTAGGAGAGGCTGGGGAATTCGGCTGCAATAATGAATACGTAGAACAAACGATACAATGCACTCATTGAGATGCTGTGTTTTTATATAGATGCATATTTAAAGACCCTTTGAAGATGACATCACAACGACGAGATGGTGAAAAGTATGATACGTCCAGATCAACTAGGAAGTCAATCAAATTTCATGGGCAATTGATGAAGAACGCGTCATATTTCCCCTAACAAAAGAGTTCCTTCGTCTTTAATTTACCAGCGTAAAAAACAACAATCTGATGACATATGAAATTTGTTACTGACGATTACAGTAATGGCCGTAGACGTCCATGCTAATAAACTGCAATGACTATATGCTAGACATATTAGAAAACTCGGGGTCAGTGTTGCTCAACGTGCAGCACTAGTTTGAATAATACAGACAGCAATCGCAGTAATCGCCGAATGCTTAAAGAGGATGAGTGCCAATAATTATGGGGTGGAGAGTCTCTCGTAAGCGAGATCCATGCACGTCTATACATGCGGGTACTTCTTAAAGATAAACCATCTAAATCCAAGGGTCATGGTCACAAAGACCTCATTGGCGCAATGATATAACAATATCACTTAATAGAATCTCTTCATCATCATTATTTCTTTCAGTTAATGACCGAACGGGTCGCTTCAATCGCATCGGATCAAGCACTCTCTAAGCGACACTTGAATGATTCAGCCGGTATACCTGTGGTGATTTGTCATTATTTGTGGTGCCTGCTAAAGATAATGATGGCGTCAAGACATTCAGTGCCAACAAATTCAAAACCAATTTCAACCAATGGTTCCCTAATGGTTCTCTCCACTCGAGCATAAGAATGGTCAGATGCTCACGACTTAACTTATGTGACTTGTTAATTTCAGGATGCTTTGATGAAACCGCTTTTCGAAAACCTACTGAGAGTCCTCACTGTGAAAAGTTCAAAAAAAGAAAAGTCATTTGTATGGATACTACATTTTATGATCACAAGCGATTTATAACACGCAGGAACGATATTTTCACAGCGAACGTCCTTGTCTCATGTCACACTTGAATTCGTTGTCATAAAATGGTGTGCATTTTAGTTCGTTGCCGGAACGGTGTTGCGCCAAGGCAACTTGCAAAAAATTGTTCGCAGAAGGTGAACATTGGCGGAAAGTGGAGCACAAAATCACAAAAGTGTGAACATTACCAAAGCGTATGGTTTCGTGAAGATGGTGTAACTACCTAGCATCTAATGTTGCATTTGTCCACCGTTACCTGATCAACACGACCAATCATGTAACAAATATTTCTTGAAGATGCATACAAACCTTTCCTGGCACTGTTTCCGGATCAACACTGAAATACCCTACGCGCTCAAACTGGTAATGATCGTAGATCTTCGATCCAGAGATGGACCTATCTATTAGCACGTTGTATAGTACTGTAAGTGATTCCTGAAAACAGCAGTTCACTAAAAGATTGCAGGAGGTAGCAATACATTTATAAATAAATGAAATTTATGTATATATACATAAACATATACATAATGTATTTTCAGTGGTTTGGGTCGCCATCTTGGTTGTGCAAACTGCTATCTGTAAAGGACAGTCATCCCTTCAGCATGACCTCCCAAGTTGAAAACAAGTTCGACATCTCTATGGAGAAATTCAAATGAGAACAAACCAGCGCCGGTAATTTTATCTTGTTGGTACTTGCTTAATCATGGAAAATTCCACCACAAGGGTCGGTGACAGCTACGGTGACCACTTGAAAAACTCTTAGCACGACTACTCCAGCACTCTAAGAAAGAATCATCCTATCAGCAATCAAATAGAAATTGTGAGAAACTGAAGAACGCAAGATTGGTTGTGAAGACAGGTTAATCAGAATTACACTTGAGAGGTTTTTGAAACTACGAGACATCAGCCATCGCGTTTGATCTTTTCCTTTAATTCATATACAAACTCTCAATATATCCTATTTACCAGTGAATGTTTGTGCAGCAGGG